TTTCAATTTCAATACTCCTACATATCTCAATTCAACACTCTACTCTCTTCTGAAATCTTCTAGTTGTGTGTTTGCAATTTGGCTTTACTACTGCTCTTCTCTTATTATTTCCCTGAAACTGGTATGTTCTAATTTAACTTTAGGCTTCATTGACCGGAGTCCACTTGAGACTCTTAGGGAACTCTAACACATCCCAAATAGGAGAAAGACTTTGGAATTTGATCTTTGGAGTTGGTTTACTTCATGCTTCAGACAGAAGTTTGAATCAGGCTCTCCTTGGTTGGGATTTTAGCTTTTGATGAAATTTTTACTCAATTTTCTTCATTCTGGGCTGTAATAATTTGTAATAACTCATGAGGGCTTATAGTGAAAAGGGGAGGGATACTCATGTATGCATAAGGGTAGATATCATGCTCATTAGGTCTTTATTTCTGCAAATCATGGCAAGTTCTGCATTTTGGCATCTTTAAAATCCTGTTTTAGGTTCTGCACTTCTACATTTTCATATAAAAATCCTGTTTTAGGTTCTGCACTTCTACATTTTCATATAGAAATCCTCTCTATAAACTTCTGCACTTTTGCATCTTAGAAATCCTGCCTATAAGTTCTACATATATATCATATCAATAGCTTTTGCATTTTTGCATCTCATATAGAGAACATGACTATAGGATTCTGCATTTTGCCTATCATATAGAAAGCATGTGTATAGGGTTTCTAAATATTGCATACGTATCCATCACTAGACAAACGATATATAGGCTTAAATAATAAAAATTAGCATTTTGGACGTCATGCCTATAGGATTTCTACATTTACATAAAGGTTAAAATTAGTCACACTTAGAAAGCATGCCTATAGGAATAAGTAACTAATCTAAATCCCTCAACTTGCTTATAGGTTTAAAATCAGTAATAGCATTGTTTAAACGCTTGCAGAACTTATGTTCCTGCTGTTAACAAAGCTGCTTCTGAAATCAGTATCTTTCTCTCGTATTTAGATATCATCCCTATAGGTTTCACCTAAGCAAGCTATAAGGTAAATTGGCTAATTGAATCAGACTCTGTTAATTCCAACCAGCAGGCAGGTCTGATTCCGTTTTCTTATCTGAAATGTGTAATAGACCAGTCTGCCTCTCTAACGTTTAAGTTTAAATCAGACCCTAACTAGTATCTACAAGACATGCTAAACAATCTGTCTTTAAGTGAGGAGGCTGGTCTGAGCCTTTTAAATTGTTATGTGTTTCCCATATCTGCCTTATGTGTTTTTGTTTATCGCTTTAAAATTTTATCCTTTTAAACCATACAAAGCCCAAATCTCTCTTCCCTTTAGGACTACTAGTCCCAAATGCCTCCGGGACTGATAGGATTGGGGCGGGTACTAACATACAATAAGTAAACGAAACCATTCCGCGTTTAATACCTCAACGGGGTGGGAAATGGTAGTTATGAATATGATGATCAGTGCGCTAATTCCACATGTAGCCCCTCTTATGAGGAGTGATTACCTGGTGTTGCATTGATGTGATCCTTATTATTTATAAACCTAGGACCCCCTTTCCCTTTACTTGTTTATTTTATTACTTTCAACATTTAAAAACTCTTTTTTCTCAAATTTTAGCTTCCTTGTTTCTTCAAACTTTAACTTATTTGCAATCACAATGTGACAACCCCTCATATTTGAAACCCTTATTTGCTTATTTTCTTGTTTGTACTTAAGTCACAATTGTAGCATGGTCGGGAACTACACTAGTGAATCTTGAGGGGTGCCTAACACCTTCCCCTCGAGATAATTTCTAGCCCTTACCCAAACTCTGATTTTTCTAAACAAATTCTTCCTAGTGTCCTAATGCACTTAATCATTAGGTGGCGACTCTTCAAATCAAAAAAACCAATTCCAAAAAGGGAACGAGTTGTCCTCCCAAATGTCATAAACCCGATTTTGCGAGAAAAAGGGGGCGCGATAATTGCCCGTCATTTACCTGCTTAAATTGTTAAAAAAAGGTTTTCGTGAAGTTTAATTTGAGTTAAATGACTTTCACATATCTTTTATGGATTTACTGTTCTTACTGGTTTTACTATCTCGTTATAGCCTGTAATGTGCCTTACGTGATTTCCTGTTTTCAATATTTATTTATGATTATTACTCACTAACTTGGAGTACTCACTTTACTTCCTGCACCCCATGTGTAGATTCAGGCGTTGCGGATCCTGCCAGTGCGAGTTGAGAGCTCCTAGCAGATTTTAGAGTCCACGAGATAACTGTTTGGCGTCTGCAGTCCAGTGTTTCTCCCTCTTTATCATTTCTATCTCTTATCAGACATTTTGTATTAGCTTATAGACTCTTTCAGACTTGTATTAGGAGTTATAGATGCTCATGGCTATTGACACCCCGATATTGGGCTGTGTTGGGTTGTTCTTCCGCATATTTGTACTGCTGACTACTTAAACCTTGGGTTATTTTATCATGATTTAGAATTTAATTTTATTATTTAATTGTTTAAAATTGAAATGGGAAGTGTCGGCGTGCCTTGTCTTCACGAGAGGCGTCATCACGATCGGGTTCGGGTTTAGGGTCGTGACATTACCAAAACCCGACTCCCGGGCCCATGTCTCGGAATTCGATAAAATTCATATCAATGGATTCCTTATCTCCCTACGAGTTCATACATATCAAAAGTACCAAAATCCGACCACAAATGGTCCCTCAAATCCTCAAGTCTAGGTCTCCAATACCAAGCTCTAGTTTTCCCAATTTTAACCCTTAAAATCCATTAATTATAGCTCTAATCCATGAAATAATACTATAGGAATGAGTTTTAGGTCCAAAATCCTTACCTCAATTATGTCCCATTGAAATCCTTCTTCTAAATCGCCCAAAACTCCAAAATTCGCATTTAAAAATGGTGAAGCCTTCTGATAATTGCGAAGGAAGGAATATATACATTCTGACCCAGGCATTTTCACACCTGCAGTCAATCCACCACATCTACGGTACCGCTTTTGTGGTCCAAGCGCCACTTCTGCGGCTTTTCACTTAAACGCCCACTTCCACTTCTGTGATCCCTTTCCCGCACCTACGCCATTGCAGATACGGCTTCTCAGCTGCTTCTGTGGCTCTAGCCTTCCCAGGACCTTTCCGCTTCTGCACCCCTCTTCTTCGCATCTGCGGCATCGCACCTACGGTCCCCAATCCGCAGGTACGGAAGTACCAGAAGCAGAAAAATCTGCAGTTTCATCAAAAATTCCAAACTCTCCGTCAACCATCCGAAATCACCCCGAGGCCCCCGGGACCTCAACCAAAAGCACAAACATATCCCATAACCTTGTTCAAACTTATACCAATCTTCAAAACTCCTCAAACAACAACGAATCTACCAACACACATCGGATTCAAGCCTAAGTTTCCAAAATCTTCCGAATTATGCTATTGATCAAAAACCCAACCAAACCACGTCCGAATGACCTGAAATTTTGCACACACATCCCAAATGATACAAAGGAACTACTACAACTCTCAGAATTCCATTCCGACCCCTATATCAAAATCTCACCTATCAACTAGAAAACGCCAAAATTCATTTTCGCCAATTCAAGCCTAAATCTATTCCGGACCTCCAAAACACATTCTGATCACACTACTAAGTCCCAAATCACCTCCTAAAGCTATTCGAACCATCGGAACTCACATCCGAGCCCTCTAACGCATAAGTCAACATCCGGTTGACGTTTCCAACTTAAGCTTCCTCAAAAGAGACTTAGTGTCTCAAACCTTACCAAATCCTTTCTGAACCCGAGCCAACCTACCCGATCACTCATATAACCAATAAACAAAGCAATTAGAAGCAGAAATGGGGGAAACAGAGCGGTAATTCATGAGATGACTGGCTGGGTCATCACATGCGCTTTGTATATTGTTACATTTAACATCTATATATATAAAAGTAGATATTGATAGCGACCATAAATTATATTTACTATGGTTCCACTAGTCAATTGACACCACTCATTATATTTTAGGATTTAATTAGCAATTTAATTATGAAATATAAATAATAAGTAGATATTGACACTAGTTAATTATATTGTCGCGCTTTATATATAGTTACATTGAACGTTTATATATATGTGTATAGTAGCCAACATATAATTTCATTCATTAAGGTCATGCTTATATTGATAACGACCATACAATTATGTTTACTATGGTTCCACTAGTCAATTGACACCAATCATTATATTTTGGGATATAATTAGCAATTTAATTATGAAATATAAATAATAAGTAGATATGGATTCATATTTTCTTGCACCACCGAATTTTCTTTGTTTGAATCCATTTTTTAGATAGGGAAAAGTGTCCACTTGACTTGGTTTGATATGAAGGAAGTATAATAAATCGTATACAATATTTGTTTTTAAGAAAGGAAGAAAATACAATAATTTGTATACACACTAAATCGTATAATTTGTATAAACATAAAATACACATAAATACAATACAATGGAAATACAGATATAATACAGAAGACTCTTCATCTCCCAACATTTAATTTACGCATACTTCAAGACATGAAATTTAATTTTGTGTTTTGTAGGGAAAAATGTAGGCTAATTAGTTAGATGGTCATTTATGTCTTTTCACTGGTGTGGCCAAAGTTGGGTAACACCAGTATGGTCGTTTAGCATCTCCCAAAAAAACCACACACTTTGTTTTGGTTATGCACTTAATTGATTACTCTGCACCAAGTCCATACAGAGTAGTTAGTAGTTGTAAGATAGCTGTTAAAAGGAAATCGCAATGTGGGCTGCCGGCATCCTGCATTAAATCCAGTTTACTTTTTTCTCAAAAAAGTAGAGTATCCGCATTGGGCATTTAATTGATGCATTGCACACGCATACCCGGGTCCCTCTATTACGTGGTATAAGCATTCTCGGTCAGTATACCACTAACTTCCCAGAATGGACGTGGAATCAAAACAAGGCAGCAAATTCACGGAAATGACGCCGCCTCCAAATTATGGATCCTCCAAGAAGAGAAGAGGAAGAAATTGCTGCTTCATCTGCCTGGCCGTCCTTCTCCTTCTGGGCCTTCTCTTCCTCATCTTGGGCCTCACCGTTTTTAAAGCCGAAAAGCCCGTCACCACTGTTAACTCCGTTTCTCTACGGGATATGGATTTCTCTGTCGACATCGCCAGGCTCCAAGTTCACCTCAACGTCACCCTTCAGGCCGACATTTCTGTCAGAAATCCCAACCGGGTGGGGTTCAAATACGAGTCTACTTCCGCCATCCTACAGTATAAGGGCCAGGTCGTGGGAGATGCCCCTATTCCGACAGGCGAGATAGGTTCCCGTGAAACGCGTCCGATGAATATTACCCTCACTGTAATGGCCGATCGCTTGCTTTCCAATTCCGGTTTGTATTCCGATGTCCTTTCCGGTTCTGGTACGTTACCCCTCACTACTTATGTGATATTATCAGGGGTGGTCCGAGTTCTGTTCAAAATTCACGTGAAAACTACTACTTCTTGCGATTTGTACATCGATGTTCTTAACAGGAAGCTCGCCAACCAGACTTGTCATTATAAGACCAAGCTATGATTCTCTCTAGTACCACATTACACATGTTGATTCGTTTCACTTGTTGGATCTGTTGGGATATATACTATTAACCATGAGTTTGGTTTAGATATAGTATTTATTATGAAATAATTGCTTATTCAGTTTTAATAAAGTTTTAAATAAATCATATAATAGTCTGTGTCCTTTGCTTATATAGTAGATGATTTAGTGTATAGAGTTTAGCTTATACATGGAAGATTAAATCATCGGTTCTTATAAGTATAAAGTTTGAGTTCACAATCTAATGATGGAATTGGACAAACCATCAGGAATGATTGTAGCACAAGATTAAATATAATTAATCTTGATTATGGGAATGGTTTAATTCCAACTTCTTGTGCTAGTACATTTTGTATGTATTGAACGGACCAGGTAGAGATAAGTATTTTATACTGACTTAATAAAATAAACTCTCTAGCCATTAAATGTACTTATACTCTTAATCTTGATATAATTATTATTAGCTGTGTATATTATTATTGTTTTGATTTATTAAAAGGCGAGATTCTTTCGTG